ATCTAGAATATGAAGAATATTTAAATCCTTCATTTCCTCAAGCATGTATTTGGTTTCAGTGTCGCTCCAAAAGTGTTTTGCTGTGTCTCGCGGCGACGCTACTCACTTATTTCTGGTACTGCAGTCTGTTTTCACACATGCTCAGACTGAGAAAGAAATCAGAGTATCAGATTTCTTAATCAGATTTCTAGACCTTACTCTGATCTAAGAAATGGGTGTGTGCTGTTTACAGGACCATTTGAATAATTGGATAACTGCAGAAATCTGATTATGATCAGATTATTGAGTGCATGTAAACACACTCAATGAGGACAAAGAAAAAGCCTTAAAATAAGTCATGCTGTAAGGGTCCAGCCTGCACCACCTGCTGCCAGCAGAGGGCGACGGCAGCAAGGTGCCCAGCCTACGGCAGCAAGGTGCCCAGCCTGCACCACCTGCTGCCAGCAGAGAGCGATGGCTGCAAAGGGGCCAGAACTTCAGGGAACTCCAATTCCCAGAAGCCCTTGAGCTGATTAGGTCCAACCCACTGCAGAGTCCTCTACTTAAGGCTGTGGCAAACAGTGGCGTTTGTCACACCTTTGTAGAGGAGTGACCGGTACGGTACACAGGCCAGGTGGGTATTTGAACAAAAAGAAAAGAGGGCAAAAAAGGAGAAATTGCCCCAAAACAACAGAAAGAAGAAAAAGAGGGCTAAAAAAGAATAAATTGCCCCAAAATTACTTAAGACAAAAAAGGGCTTGAGCTACAAACGGCTCCAAGTAATAGAAAAGGCGTTTGCTCCACCAAGAGCAAACAAGTGACACATAGTCTACCTTCCCTTCGTACTTAAAGTGGAAGTGTATTTTGTTTTCCCATTATCTGTCATTTCACCTTTCTAGTTCAGCCTTTGTTTGAGCGCGGCTTTCAGCGTTTGTTTTGCCGTTCGCCGTTTTCCCGCCTCTACCTGTTGACACCCGTGCTTCCCATTGGCGCAGCGGTAACCCCACGGACCACAGATCAGTATAAGGGCGGTTCAAGTCTGGCTCTGGGTCACCTCAACCATAACATCCCGAGCTCACACCCCAGTGCCCCAATAAACTCATCCAACACTCTTTCTCACTGGTTTTCATTTCTGCACTTGCGTTATGGGAGCTGGCAACAAGGTAAATCTTTCCAACTCAACAGCAAATGTACGATCTGTAAGGTGAGGAAACCCAGGTCAGTGCTTTCACCTGGATGCCCACTGTAAGATTAATGAAGCGTGAGTCAGGTCCTAGCTGTAAGATTTACAGAGGGGAGAGCGGTGGTCCTACTGTAATGATTATAAATAATACCACTCTCCCTACTAGGGGAGACCACTCTCCACTCTCTCTAAACTCTGTATTTATAATAATTACAGTGTGACTTCCACTCTCCCCTCTGTAAACTCTGACTGTTCACAACTCCCATATGGAAAAACATATATGGACATGTGTAGCGTGCTTTGCTGTTTTAATTCATAAATGGATCAGAACTTTTTGAGCAAAGTCGGATCTGCATCTGCATGCGGCAGGATGTTTGGAGGGACCAATAGTGAATTTATGGCTGACTGCTAAAGACACATCTCACAGCCTCCATTTGCTGCCCCCCCCTTTTGGCGGCCTGGTGCAGAGGTGGGGAAGGGGGTGGCTCACCTCAGAACAGACCTACTTTGACCCAGAGGTCTGAAGACTTTCTTGTTCTTTTGACTAACAGTTTAAGGGCAACATAATGGAATGTCATGCCACCCCTTTATAAACATCCTGAAGAGACCTTTGGACATCACTGAAGTAAATTTTGGGATACTGATAAATCGTGACTTTTGAAACTTCCTTTCCCCCTCTCTCACACCCATACATCTTACCTTCCCCCACAAAGAGAGACATCTTACCTAAAACAAAGGCCAAAGATGGCCCACCAATCATCTCTGGGTGAGGGGACTGTTGAGACCTCACGAATCCCTGAGCAGACCCCTCGGTGTGGCCAGATACTCTTAAGTGCATTCCTTCAGTATCATAAATTTGGGGTCTGTGCAGAGGCTAGGCTCCTGAGAGCCTTGCTTTCTGGCAAAGTATTCACAATGTGATCTTTAATCAAGTATCAATCAAATGCCTTTCCTTTATCAAACTGTGAAGAACACCTCTGTTACTGTTAACATGTTGCCTTGTCAGGCGTTAATTGATTAATCCCTGCCAAAGGGAATTAATACCTAACTTTCTACACGATATTCTTCTATATTCTAGTAGTTATTTCGATTCTTGAATTGTAACCCTTCTTCACTGATCTAGGTTATTGTATTGATCTTTGATCATTCACAACTATGTTCATTTCACCCATTATATAATTTTTCTTTTTCTTTTGTTCGAGAAACAACCCATATGTTTCGTGATCACTGTTAATCTTATATATCTGCTTTTCTTGCAAGTCTTCTTGTAGTGTTATTAGGAGCAGGATTCTAAAGTTTGTAGCTTGTGTGACTATGTACACTTTAATCATAGAGTTTCTCCCAACATATCTACAGAATTATTATGTACTCACTTATTTTACTCTGAGTTATTATGTAACCGTGCATGTAAGCATTGTTTAGAAATAGCAATGTGACGTATAACCTCGAAATTGTCTTACCAATTTAATCCTTTTGTCTAAGTAGTTCCTACTTCTTATATGACTAGAATGGTTAAGGATTCAACTTATTGTATGTAACCATAACATGGTTTACGTTAAGGGATAATGATCTGTAAGCTCCATAGTCATTTGCAATAGTCACTATGGAAACAATAATGTTGAAATTGCATGCTTCTTTTACTTAAGTGTAACCACACCCAGAATCTCCAAAGGATTATGTGACACTTGAGCAGCATTCAAAGAAATTGCATATTCATTATAGGTAACCTAACAAACCAACCAAAACCTTTTCCCTGGCTTAGCTCTGCCTTAGCTCCGCCCCTCAAAGTTCTTTCTTTAAAGCCAGCAAGAAAGAGAAACAGTTGAGAGAATGAGAAGAAGAAACAGAATGACAGGGAAAGTTGGCCCTGAAGGGAGCGAGACAGCCAACATGTAACCTTAACGAAACTCCAAGTAGAGAAGCCCGTTCTCCTCATTTTGCACTTTAGCTAAGCTCTGCAGATCTTAAATGTTAGTTGTTTGTCTTGTGTCTTAATCCGTTTTGTTTCATTTACTCAGTAATCTTAAAGTGTTGTAACTGTAAGGTTAGACTATTGAAGAGCTGCATCTGGCTGCGTTTGTTTTTCAAGTTTCGTCAATCTATTTTGAAAGTCTAATTGGCAACGATAGGCCGCTCAGAACCTAGTTTAGAACAGAAACAGAGGCAAAACAGTGCTGACTGAAATCCACATCAAGAGCCTGCTCCGACCACCGCCTGCCTCCATCGCCAAGAAGATCTGCGCTCCTCACCGGAGAGGCCGCCAAGCGTCGCCGGAAGCCTGCCTTGCCAGTGGGGTCCGGTCCAAAGCGTTGACCAAGGGCTTGCACCTCTAGCGGCCTTGCCTTTGACCTGCAGACCCTTCCTAGCTTGTGTGAGCAGTGGCTTCTCTTCCTCAACATGGCACGCGCATCAACACGGCTCTGAGGCGTCCAGCAGCTTTGACCTTTGACCTGCGGACCCTGCTCCAGCCCATGCCAGCAGCGGCCTCTCTTCCCCTCAACACGACACCCGAATCACCGAAGCTGTGAGGCATCCAGGTCGTAGATTCACTCGCGCTGCCCTTTGTGGTCTCAGTCTCACTGTGATTTTGCTTTTCTTTATTGACACTTAGGCCAGCTTTACACTAGTGTTAGGGTTGTTCTGCTTGCTGCTCAAAAGCCACATAATTTGGAAAATCAGCTAATCTAAGTACTTTTGTTCAGTATATTCAATATCTCTGGTTTCTTTCCATAACTAGTAATCCAATATTTAGTACCTATATACCTTTGTAATCGATTGCTTTATGTTTATATACCTCGATCAATAAATAACCCTTTATTACAGTCATCTCTGTCACGGTGTGCATATGAAAAACTTCAATTTGGTTCTGTTTCCTGGACCATAGTCAAGCCCTCACTTGAATTTAATTAAAATACCCATGTCTTACGGTAAGTGGGAAATTAGGTGCTTTTGAGGCCTTGTCCCGCTACACATGTATTTTTATGCATTTTAATACTTTCCAAACACTAAAATGTATTTCAGAATATTTCGGCATATTAACCAAATATATTTAAAAGTATGGAAAAATATTACACACAAAAATGTACCACACAGAAATAAATGTATGTAAATGTGTTTATTAATTTGAAAATGTATGAAAACAGCCAAAATCCTGTCTGATGCTCTTCACTGTCTGATCCCTTTAGAAATAAATTTGTGTTCCAGTATCTTCATTTTAAATATGATCAGATGAACCTTTAACATGACGAAAGCGAGTGTTGTAGGTATTGATACTCTGTGAAAATGCAGTTATGATGTGATATCTTGTTTATGTGAAATACATTGTGTGTGAGAGTCTCACTGCAGACGTACCTGGTTAATGTAAAGTACAGTGCAGATCACAGACGTCAGTACATTTAGATTCATCTGTAACCTGCATTACACACAACTCAACACAGATAATAACAAACAAATAAATATATAACACATACAAATAATAACTTAAAAATATTTTAACAAACACATTTTTGGCCATTTTCATACATTGCAAAAATATATTTGATAAATACATGCAATCTATTTTTTCTCCATACCGGATGATCAACTAATCAAACAGCACACCTGCATTTTAATGAGGAAATGTAACATGATGCAGTGAGTAGAGCCATTCAGTCTGGCCCTGTAGGGGGAGCCACACTGATTATGTTACATAGAGCTTCCTTGAGAACCTTGAACAGAGACTTCTTGTCTGCAGCTGAAGGGGAAGTTCCCCTGACACTGCATATAAATGCTCAAAATGCTTGTTTTAAACCTTTCATTGAGAGGAAGAGCATGACAGGATCACAGCAGTCAACACGGCAGGACAATAAAAGCACAACAAGGTAAATACTTTATTACATTTACATCAATAACAGTGTTCATAAAGCATGCCTACTGATTCACATGACTCTGAGTGAGCATGAATGAATGAACAGCTGTGCTGAACCGTGTAGCAGCAGCTAAACCATGTTAGCTGAGAGATCAACAAAGCAGAGATCCTCACTGTCCAGCTGTGGAGATGTAAACACAGTCGAGAGATGATCTACAGAGTCTAACACTACTGTACTGTAGCAGAGATACTGTAAACACTGGAGTAGCCAGTTCAGTGTGGTCAGTGATTCAGATCAGATGAGTCGACTCTTTCAACTCACAGAACTAAGAAGTAAAGTTAATCCACAAGTAAACACATCATGTGAACACTACGGATTGCATGTGACTTGCATGTACATACGTGTATGTGATTACACATTCTTGTCATGTATATGCAAAACAATCCTCCTGAAAAAAACATGGAAACCACTGCAGTTCCTGATGGTTTTGTAATGTGTTTGGCTTTTTAAATGGGTTGATATCACAGTGTAAAGGATCCTAATGGCCTAACAGGTGAGTCTACATGCATTGCATGGCTTCCTAATGGGATCTAAAGCTGTTCTACAGGAAACCAGTGGTCTTTACTGGAGATCATTAAGCCAGTTCCTATTAGAAAGCAAACCCATTTTGGTCCTTTTTCAGCAGGGTAAGGAACACCTGAGGGGCCTAAAAACCACCTGGGATATTTCAGATGTGAAATGTAGTTTGTCTGTGAGGGTCAGAACCCAGTGGCTCTTTATTCAGCAGCGGCGCATTTTCTCCCTAAAATTAGTGTGTATTAGTTTTGAACCCATTTCATTTTCAGTAAACGTTCAGTCTACCAGTTAATTAGCTCATTAACGGTGTGTATTAGTTTTGAACCTATATAATTTAGTCTACCAGTTAATTAGCTCATTAACGGTGTGTATTAGTTTTGAACCTATATAATTTAGTCTACCAGTTAATTAGCTCATTAACAGTGTGTATTAGTTTTGAACCCATTTCATTTTCAGTAAACGTTCAGTCTACCAGTTAATTAGCTCATTAACGGTGTGTATTAGTTTTGAACCTATATAATTTTCAGTAAACGTTCAGTCCACCAGTTAATTAGCTCATTAACGGCGTGTATTAGTTTTGAACCTATATAATTTTCAGTAAACGTTCAGTCCACCAGTTAATTAGCTCATTAACGGCATGTATTAGTTTTGAACCTATATAATTTAGTCTACCAGTTAATTAGCTCATTAACGGTGTGTATTAGTTTTGAACCTATATAATTTAGTCCACCAGTTAATTAGCTCATTAACGGTGTGTATTAGTTTTGAACCTATATATTTAGTCTACCAGTTAATTAGCTCATTAACAGTGTGTATTAGTTTTGAACCCATTTCATTTTCAGTAAACGTTCAGTCTACCAGTTAATTAGCTCATTAACGGCGTGTATTAGTTTTGAACCTATATAATTTTCAGTAAACGTTCAGTCCACCAGTTAATTAGCTCATTAACGGCATGTATTAGTTTTGAACCTATATAATTTAGTCTACCAGTTAATTAGCTCATTAACGGTGTGTATTAGTTTTGAACCTATATAATTTAGTCCACCAGTTAATTAGCTCATTAACGGTGTGTATTAGTTTTGAACCTATATAATTTAGTCCACCAGTTAATTAGCTCATTAACAGTGTGTATTAGTTTTGAACCTATATAATTTAGTCCACCAGTTAATTAGCTCATTAACGGTGTGTATTAGTTTTGAACCTATATAATTTAGTCCACCAGTTAATTAGCTCATTAACGGTGTGTATTAGTTTTGAACCTATATAATTTAGTCCACCAGTTAATTAGCTCATTAACGGCGTGTATTAGTTTTGAACCCAGCGTCACAGTAATGCATTACGTATTATGCTTGTTTTAACAGCTATATAAATAAATTAGACTGATTTATTGCTTTCTCTCATAAAAGCAATGGGTTTTGTGAGGATTATTTTTTTGGAATTGCTCTTCAGGGGTTCAGGATCAATCAGTGCTTAGCTGTGGTAGTTCTGAAAGACAGATCATCTAGAACAGGGGTGTCAGACTCAGCCACTAAAGGGGCCGTATTAAAAAATCTCAACACATCTGAGGACCTGAGAAAACGTTTTCATTTCATTTTTAATGTTGAGCTACAACCTGAACTGACCAGTGTTTATTCACCATACACAGAAACGTCAGCAGTAAAGTCCAGGCACTTTAAGAGAGCTTGAAATATTACATAAATACTTGAAATACTATTATAAATCTACTTATCAGCTTGAACTGGACACCTGCCATCCTTTCTTTTTGCAGGGTCATTAATACTTAAGCTCGGTTTCTGAGCTGCTGAGCTGGTCAGTGTGCATGTTGGTTGACCTGCAGCTGAAATGCAGTTGGTGTGTTTGGTGATGTGACTGGTGTGGAACTGGGTAGAATTGAAGTGTGACCGCTGTCCCATAGACTGCTGTTGGGGGAGGAGAGCTGGAGCACACGTTACGTTGCAGTGCATGCTGGGGGCTGTAGTGCAGCGCGAGTCGGCTCCCTGGAGCGTTCACTCAGTCAGTTCATTGAGTCGACTCTCTCGCAAACGGCACATCATGAACAAAGCGGAGTCTCGTGTTTTCTCGGCTCCTTCGTAACTGGATAAACTGAGAACTGGTAGATAATCGGTCAATTAATCAATTATTTAATATGAATTCACAAAAGCATCGAGAAAAAACGGGGAAACCGGTACAGTAAATCCCGCCACTTTCCCTTTCACTTCCTGCTGATAAAACACTCCCACGACTGAAACTCGTAACTCAGTCTGTGTGAGATGTGGAATGAAGCTCCTCCAGAGCTCCACACACGGAGAACTGCACTCTCCCAGGTAGAAACAGACAGTGTAGGATTCCTGATGGTTTTGTAAAGTGTTCTGGCTTTTTTACAGATAAACCAACCTTCTCCTCTTTAATTAAGCCCTTTTTTGCAATATTTAGCTATTTAGCCGTTTACTTTCTGGGTTTGTTTTCCATGTAAAAGATGGAAAACTCTCTAGAACAGGAGATGGTTGTTACAGTTGAACACCAGCAGACCTTCAAAGCATTAAATTGTGTGTTTGTATTGATATCCTTGTTGGACTTTAAACCCAGATTCAGATCCTTTAGTTATAGAGTATTTGGGGAAACTGTGGGTGTTTAGTGTGTCGGGATTTCAGTATTCAAACAAGGCATATACAGTCATTTCAACACCCCTGCAGCGAATGTAGTTGGGGCTGGAGTGCTGAAGTGTAAGGATGCACTAAGAGAGATGACTCATTGATGATGCAAGACAAGTTTAATTAGTTTTACACTGGAATCTTCTGGAATCATAACTGTATTAGTTTTCATATGAATAACTCTGCTAACCGGATCTTACACTGTCAACTGTAATACGCCATTGTAGTTACATGCTGCCTTTTTTTTACAGAAACCTGCACATAGTCGTCCAGAGATGACCATGAACACCATGACCTCACTTCTTTACACTACAGTCATTTTGTGTGTTGCTGCCTGTGCTGGTGAGTGTCTGACTGGACTCCACACATCTTCTAATGACATCAACTGCCTCTACAAAGTGCTAGAATTCAGTGTTTTTAATACCCCCCCCCCTTCCTCCAGGCTCCTTTCCTGCACCCTCTCGAATCTTCATGTCTGCCAGAGTGGGTTCCTCAGCTGTTCTACCATGTGACTGTAGAAACATGTCCACCCAAACTCCTCATGTTCAGTGGCGAACCATCTCTGAGACGGTGTTTGAGCGAAGGGGTGGAGATCTGTATCAGGGTGAGCGGTATGAAGACCGTGTGGACGTTCCTGAAGATCACCTGCTGAAGGGGGACTGTTCACTGGAGTTGAAGAACATCAGACCTGATGATGCAGGAGTTTATGAAAGCTACCTGCTGGTGAGACGAAAGAAGAGATCCCTCCGTTCTCAAAGAGTCTTCCTCCAGAGCGTGGAGCTCTCAGTAGATGGTAAGCATTGTTTCACAGTGGTTAGTATGTTGGACGTCGCTGAGAGGTTACATTCAACACAAGTTCAAAATCACACAGTTCCTAAGCTACAAAGATGTGGTCAATGAAATTAAACAGAGATTTTACAGTTTCACACGGGTTCCAGATGCACCTGGCACAGAACTCAAGTTCAGCTCATACCATCAGCCCAAAATTTTAAAACAGAAAATGATTATGTTCTAAAATGTTAATGTAATATGTAAAGATTGTCTTAATTTCTCAATGTAATCACTTACGTCAAAATGATCATGAACTTTTTACGCAAGTATTAACTCATTTTTTCTGATTTTGCCATTATGTTGACTCACTGTGTAAAAATCATGAGAAAATAAGCCATTATTTTGATCTAATGATCACAGATTGAACCGAAGATGGATAAAAAGTCTTTTTTCTCATAACTGGAGTTAAACGTATGGTTATATTGCACTGATCATGTTTTAATGACAAAGTTAGACCTTTATTAATTTGCATGCAGGTTCTAAGTAGGTTAATTGCTAAATTGGCCACACCCACCAGCACAAAGTGTCGGTAGACTGTCAGTAATTACTCCATCTTGTAGTAAGTCTGTCACTTGGTAAATGCTGTTTATATAAGTTGGTTGAGTTTAGCACTAGCATGCAGAAACGATGGCCTCTTAACATAATTATAAACGAGATCTGTGGTTTCAAACTGTGATCCTGGAGTAACTGCATTATATTTCTGTGGTTTTCTGCTGTAATTCCACTTAATCAGCTCTTTAACAAGCCCTTCTTGGGACAAACTGAAAACAGCAAAACAGCAGGAACGTACAGGGCAGGACCACCGGACCAGATCACATGTAGCCCCTCTGTGAAGACTGGGCTCTCACGGTGCTGAACAGAATGATAACATTTATTTCTTTTTCTTTTTCCCCCAAAGAAACACCTGAGGAAGACTTCAGTGACAGGGTAGCTGTAGCAGGTGAGTGAATATCAAGCCTACAGCATTTCTCAAACTCACACTGACCTACAGTGGCATAGTGACATAATTCATCTGACCAGCTGTGAAGACAAATAGGGTGTAATCTTTATGTCTCTGTGTGTGGAAGTCATTAAGATGGATCTGAAGGATCAGATTCTGATCTAAATTATGTTGATGTGAGGACTGAATTAAATGTATCCATATTTATATGAACCACTGATGATCTTTTAATGTTGCCACACAGCTCTGAACAGATTAACATACTAAGGTTCTGTGGTTCATTCTAAGCAATCTAGAACTGAATTACTTCTCATTCAGTGAATTAAACCTTTTAGAGCTCCAGTTTTCTCAGAGCTGAATGTTTGTGATAAAGTCTTAAATAATGATTTTCCTTCTGTTCAGATCAATAATTACACTCTCTCTTTCTCTCTCTCTGCAGATGAGGCTGGAGTGACCAGTCATTACCCACAGATCATAGCGCTTTCCCTCCTTTCAAGCTCACTTTTCCATCTCTTCTGAGAGGAAACACAGCAGTACAACATGAGCCGGTATGTTGGTTACAGCTACACTTACTTTTAAAACTAAAGATGCCTCAAAGAGTTTATTTGCCTGAAGAACCAAAAAGAGATCTGAGGGTGCAGAGAACCTTTTAAAGGTGTAAAGAACTTCCACATGATAGAAAGGTTTAATAATCCTTCATAGCACCTTTACATTATGAGGAAGTTCTGAAATCTTCAGAAAAGTTCTTTACACTCGTGGTATCGTGTAGAAAATCCCAGTTTGGCCCCTTTTTTTGTAAGAGTGTAGTTATGGACTAACCTGCACCGTCAGTGTTGTTACACCATTGAACGTTCAGTTTAGTCTAGGCTTGGGCTTAATCTGGATCTGGGAAACCGGCACTGTATGTCCAAAAGTTCATAGACACCAACGTTTCTTCTGAAATGAAGGGTGTGCTAAACTTTTGGACATATAGTGACCTCTATAGTGACCTCTCTGAAGATCGCGACCTTGACGTGGTAGAGAGGCTTGTGTGGTCCTGTGTGGATTCTGACGAAGAGCAATCTGACAGTCTGTGTTTAAGGTGGTTGTAGTTTATGGGAAGTGGGAACTGATTTATGGCTGGTCAGTATGGTGATATTTATTGTGATAAGTTAGGTCACAGAGTGTGACACTGTGTTTTTCTGACCACAGTAAATATCGAACCATGAACTTTGTGGAAAAGTGAAAGTGGTGTGGACAGTTTGACCACCTGAATTAAACAGAGGCCAAATAAAACCGTTGCATTTTCTCCATCTGAACAGCTGCAATTGATATGCAAGATATTATGAGCTACTATATTATCATCAAATTATTATCAGCTGTTATATTATCATCAAGATATTATGAGCTACTATATTATCATCAAGATATAAAATAAGGTGCAGATAAATCTGTTTATATTATATTTATAAGATATGAAACACTGCTTAACTTGAAAGAGCTGCTTGGTTTTAGACAAGGCAAAGAATCAGGCAGCTTCATTTCAGTGAAAGAGCTGCTTGGTTTTAAATAATTTCAGAGAAATGTGCTGCATGACTGAACACAGCGGACTGTGATGATTTTTAATGAATGCTGTGTCAAACACAGTTAAGGTAATGTAGGATTGTAGTCACTCAGTGTGACGCACTGAAACGAACATCCTTGGCTAAAACTGAACCAAAGATTCCGAAAAGTCAGGATTTTTAATAAACAAAGAACTGCAGAGTAACAGGGACTTTTATTATGTATTATTTATTATAGTCAGCACTTCTAACAGGATGAAACTGAGCTGATGATAAACAAAAACAATTAACATTCTTTGTGGTTCTAAGGTTCTGTGTTCTGTGTATCACATTCTCTATCAATCTGAAGAACGCTTTAATCATACAAAGGGCTCTTTAAGTGTTCATGGTTCTATATAGAACCATTGTCTTTACTAAAGAACCCTTGAAGAACCACTGTGCACTTTTTCAGTTATACTGTGCGACTTTGAATCTGTAACCTGTTGATAATCTGAGATGAACGTCTAAGGTGGTGTCGGCGGCCTGATCTGTGATCAGTCTTGTTCACATTAGTAGTGTTTTTTGTTATTTTTGTAGATCAAAACTCTTAAATGAATGTTGTTTTTCAGTTTGTCTGTTCTTTTGTTTAAATTATCTGTGTGAAATCTTTACAGGAACAAGTGATAAGAATGAAGAAATGTAAATTCAGTTTAACAGGTTATAAATGTTACTGCAAATTTACAGCTTTAAATCTAAAGATAAATGCTTTAACTATGTTTTATGTAAATGACCATGAAAGACGCACTGTTATTGGATCAGGGATCCTTTTAGATGTGATGCTCATCACTGATATTAATGTTCTGAACGTGACTGTGATATTGATGTTTGTCAGTTGGCAACTCTGATTCTGTGAAATGTGTTTGTTTTCTTCAATGTAAAGTTGTAGATAAATAAAATCTTATGTGATGTATTTAAGCCATTTGTCATATGAGTGATTATTTATCATATTCAGGACGGAGGGGGGGGCGGTGATTGGGGAGGATGGGCGACTAAAAGAGGCAAATAAAACAGGAGGACCGTTGAGCCAAATGATCTGCAGTTAGTGTCGTCTGCTAAATGTCCCAAGAACTGAACAGAGGGTGAATAAAACTATGTTGCATCTGAACAGCTGCAGTGGGTATGATGAGATATTATCAGCTATTATATTATCATCAAGATATTATCAGCTCTTATATTATCGTCAAGATATTATCAGCTCTTATATAATCATCAAGATATTATCAGCTATTATATTATCATCAAGATATTATCAGCTCTTATATTATCGTCAAGATATTATCAGCTTTTATATTATCAAGATATTATCAGCTACTATATTATCATCAAGATATTATCAGTTATTATAGTCAAGATATTATCAGCTATTATATTATCATCAAGATATTATCAGCTACTATATTATTATCAAGATATTATCAGCTATTATCAAGATATTACCACCCATTATATTATTATCAAGGTATTATCAGCTACTATATTATCAAGATATTATCAGCTATTATCACCATGATATTATCAGCTATTATCTTATCATCAAGATATTATCAGCTATTATATTATTAAGATATTATCAGCTATTATCATCAATATATTATCAGCTATTATATTAAGATATTATCAGCTATTATATTATCATCAATGTATTATCAGCTGCACGTGTGAAAAAATAATATTCGTAAGTCTGGGTTCCACACCTCACTCACTATGTTTTCCCACGAAAGAGCTGCAGCAGATCAGTAACACATGAAAAAAAATAACACTAACAATTGTCATTTTACACCATCTTAAAAAAATACTGTAGAGCTACTTGACGATTTAACATGCTAATGCTACGTAATTTTTCACCTGATCTCTGATTTGTATGGACAAAAAAACCCATCACCCTGTTGATCAAAGCTGGAATAACATGCTGATTGTCAGCCCTTTAGCTTCCCAATTACGGTTTTTATGTGATGCCTGAAAAGAAAGAGGAAGAAAAACATCCCCCCACTGGTCAAAGCTGGTGTGACATGCTAGAAACAAATTGAGTCTTAAACAGATTTTGATGAATGAAAATGAAAAGTGATGCTAGAAATATTTTTGGCTGATTTTGCAGTCCTACATATAAATAAAGTGGAATTAAACTGAGGAATGCACTGTTTTTTTTCTTTATGTTCCTGTAACGCGACAGAATGACGCAGACGCTTGCAGATAAAAAGGGAATGAGAAGCTTTACTGGTGAAAACAGAATCCACAATCGTAGTCAGGTCACAGGCAATGGTCAGATCCAGAAAAGATAAAACATACAAAAATACAAACATAACCAGGCAAAAGTATCCAAAAGGGGTCAGGCAAAAGGCAGGTCAAAACACACAGCAAAAAGGTCAGAATATGAACAGACAATCAGAAAATAAACGCTCAGTAGCTCTGTGAGAAGAAGCAATACCTCGCAATGAGACTAACTACAAGCCCGGGCTATAAGCTAAACTAATCAGAGAGAGACAGGTGAAAACAATCAGTACTCTGGGGAACTGGAGCGCTGATTGGAGCGTGAAAGTGAGGCTGGCGTCACGTGATCTCCCAGTTCCAGGGGATTCTGGGAGATGGAGTCCAAGGAAAGTTCAGAGCCTACGGGAGTCGTGACAGTACCCCTTTAGAACATACGCTTGTTCAAATTAATGTGTTGACAAAAAAGACTTTAATTAAAATTTTAATTATAAATTTGGTCAAATAAATTTCGTTTTTTCTTTTTTCAAAAACTTTTATCAAATGTGTCACAGTTATTAGCACCATTAGAAATTCTTATGAACAAAATGTAACTGCAGCACGTTCCCATTTCTTTTGAGACTCAAACAGTCATACATGATTTTCTCACGTGGGGAGGATCAGAAAAACCCTCTCTCATCCGTCGGAGCCTCTCATCCTTAGATAGGCGAGAGGAGTCACACTGCATGGGTTCTTCTCTGTCTTCATGAGTCAAATGTCTAGGGGGAATTCGGGTTTTCACAATGTTTTTTCCAGGGTTGTCAGTTTGTTTCCTGCCACGATTATTAAGCAGCTGATCGAGATGAATGGAAAGATTTATTAACTGGTGAGACTCAAACAGTCATACATGATTTTCTCACCATGGGGAGGATCAGAAAAACACTAAATAATGTACACTGACCTTCATATATAGGAGAATTTCTTATCTACATGCTTGAAAATGCCCATATAAACTTTGGGCAATAAATAAGAAGTTAAACCAACTGGAGCTGTAGTGAGGATTGGAAGTCTGACATATCCTATATATTGGCTGATATTCTTTTTTTTTCTTCACAAATATAATATAAAGAAAGATTTTTGCATTAGTTATGTATAGTTATTTAAGAGTCCTCAGCCAAAAAATGATATAATGCAGTTTAAAAATAACTTGTACTGGAACTCCTTTTTTAAAACATGAATAACATCTCACAGCTTCAATGCACTCTAACAAAATAGTGCTATTAAAACACACACACTACACGTTTGGCTACCAGGCCATCTTAGACGCTTGTTCAGCTCACATTTATTTACGTGTCTCCTCTAGTTAATTTACAGACATGTGAGTCACAGATCTATTTACCATGACTTCATTTAGACAGAATAAGATAAACGCTGTAGTTTAACCCCCGTGTGTCAAACACAAGGCCGCGGGCCGAGTCAGGCACAATCCTATTCAGCGTGCGAAATTATTTAAATTTTCTATTAATATTAGCTCATTTCACCATCAACTGCACTACAGTCCCCAGCATGCACTGCAACATAATGTGTGCTCTGACCCCCTCCTCCCAAAAACAGTACAAGAAGTGATGGTGTTCAAGCAAATAGGCAGTTCTAAAGACGTGTAAAGAGCTTTAACAGTGATCTGTAACTCATGTAGCCTATTGATTTACATAAAACTATTTTTTATTTGAAATTATTTTTAAATAGTTCAAGTATTCAGTGCCTGTTTTGCTGTTTTGAATAAACAATGGCCAGTTTGGGTTACAGCAGAATGTTAAGTATAAATGAAATAAAAGCACAGCTGGTCCACAGATTTGAAGAGGTTTTTAGAGGTTTAGTTTGATCTCGCTGGTTTAACGGCTCATTAACATTAGTTATTTTCTATTAATAAACTTAGCATTAGCTGGCTTTGTGTATAACCTGATTTAGCTATGAACAGCGTTATAAAAGCTGCTGTAAGCCATGTTGCTAGAGAATTTTAAGAAGTGATGAGAGAGAAAAGATAGAATGTTGTTTGTTTACTTACTAGAACTGACACAGTTTCATAAATTAATGCATAATCTTGTTTGTCAACAGCTCAGCCAACACCACTCAACAACCGTAACGCTAAACGTAGCTAATTCTGATCTTCGCCTGACAGTATCAGCTTGGTTCAAGCTAAAACTGAACATAATGAGACATAATGAACATAATGAGACCAGTTTCATAAATTGGGTGTCAATAACAGGAAGGTCATTGTTTTTATTTCCTACCAAAATAATAAACTACAGCCCAAAACTACTCAAAATCAGTCGACAGCAGTCACCCAGCACACGGCCAGTTCACCATCCATCAGGCAGGAGATTCAGCATACAGGCTAAAACAACCCGGTTAATGAACGGTTTCTACCCACAGGCTATCAGGCTTCTGAACAAGCTCTGAAGCTGTGTGTTCTTCCCCAGTTACCATTTCACTCAGTCACTTTCTCAGTATTATTATTACATCATATCATCTCTGCTATGGACAATAACACTAACACTGTCCCTTTAAAGAACAATAACACTGAGTCACTTAAGTCACTTTAAAATGTATAAATGTATATTGTCTCTATATTTTGTGTATATATTTTGTAGATTTTGTGTATATTTAATATATTTCAGTTGTTTTTCTTATTTTATTTTTACTTATTTCCTTTCTGTAGAGTGATTCTCTGAGCCTCACC